ATAAATTTAAAGAAATTATAGGGGGGGGGGGGGGAGTTGGGGCAGATCGGGGATGGGGCCATTGGCGTGGCGAGGGTGTTGATGTCACACTGGCACTGATCCTGGGGACCCATTCAGCCGAATATCTATCTTATCACTCGTTCACAGGCGTGATCGCCCCCGAGAAGGGCGACTCTGCGTCGCCGGCCGTGTCAGAGGGCTCGGGAGGGGGTGGTGGTGCGGGCCCCGCCCCCTCCGCCATCTCCGAGGAGGACAAGGCGGCGGTCAAAGCCGGGCTGAAGGACATCATGCCCCGACTCATGCACCGATCGGAGGCGGAGGGAGCCATGCAGCAGCTGTACCACCTCAGGCGGTGAGAGGAGGGCAATGGGAGGGGAGGGGAAGGTGGACTGATGTATCATGCTGGAGCGACCTCTGTGGTAACCCCCCTCTGCCGCCACATCGACGCCCTCCCCAAGTCGCGAGTCCATGCAATCCACACCACACCGCTCCCTCATACTTCCTCCTGCCCAACCGCACACACACACACACGGTCGCCAGGCAACACCCCGAGTACGTGGACAAGTACATCACCGGTACGTCCGACATGTTCCGGGCCTACATCCGCGACGGGCTGGCGAAGCTGGAGGCCCGGGACGACGGCGCCCAGGACCCGGGGACGCCCCCGGCCTCGGCCGCAAACGGGGCACCGGCTGACGGCAGGCCCGGGGGAGACGACAGGCCACCGCTCCCTGTCCCTCCACGGCGCGGCGCCGGGGTCGCAGCCTTGACGCGGCCCTCCCCCGGCCCGGCCGGCCTGCCGCCGATCCTGTCCATCCCCAGCCCGGGTGCGGCGCCGGGGTTCGGCAGCGGCACGCCCGGCGGCCAGGGTGCCGCAGCCACCCCATCCCCGCTGGCCTCCGCCAGGTCTGACGGATCGGCTGCGGGCTCCGTCGCGCGGCTGAACAGCCTCAGGTATGAGGCAGCGCGGCGGGGGTGTGGGGCTGGGAGCAGGCGGGAGACCATGAGCGCGGTAGACTCTGCCGGGGATGCCACGTGGGTGGGGCTCTGGCGGCACGGGAGGCTGATACTTGGACTTGCAAAGGGAGGATCACATCTCTCGAAATCCCTCGGTTGAACCCCTTTTCGCCCCCTCCCACTCATGCAGGGAGCGCCTTGCGAGTGCGAGGGGCAGCGTGGAGGGTGGCCTTCCCCCTGCAGCTGCCCTTTCTCCAGGCAGGAGCCTGGGTCGCCCCTCGGGCGACCTCACCTCGGTGCGGTCTGCGATCGACGAGCTGGCGGACAGGATGGCCGCCCTGCGACGGGCTTCCCACACCTCCGGCTAAACCCCGGTGGTCGTGGTACATGAGTTGATGCTTGGAGTGGTACAATGCAAGTATGACATTACAAAATGGTGGCAGGGGAAAGGTCACATCGGAGAGGGAGGGCGCTGGAAGATGCTTGGGGGAAGCAACAGGCATGAGCTGGCCCTCACTTGGACGTCTTGTGCGGGAAGCAGATCTGGCATGGGAGGGGGAAGGGAAGCGGGTCGAATGAGTGCTCATGTGAGTATGCCTGAATGTCAACCCCTGCGAGGCCAGCGCCCCCCGTTCTGTCCTGCCCCATCACCTTGCAGCGCCAGATGCCATGTTCGCAGGAGTGTCCTGTCTGGGCGTGGTCTTCGCGGCGGGCCATCTACACAGGGGAAAACAGTCCCACTTGGCAGGGGGTCCTGCTGCTGAGTGCCCAGAGCCACCACATGAGATGGGGAGAAACCCACACCCGGCTCACCTCACGGCAATCCTTGGCGGCGCGCTTGGTGTCGTGAGTGAGGCGCTCCTCCTTGGCCAGGGCTCGGAGGGAGGTGCGCTCCTGGGAGCATGGGAATGTGTAATGAGGAGGGCATCAGCCTGGAGAGCCCTAACCAATCTCCGGCACCAAATGGCTACAAACCTGCTGGACAGATGGGCCGCCACTGGATCGAGACCCGCATGCCGCAGCCCAATCTCACCTGATCCTTGGCGAGGCGCTTGGCTTGGGCATCCGCTTTCGCTGCGTCCCGCATCTCCCGCTCTCGGAGCTTGGTCTGTGCCAGTTTATCTGTGCTGGCCAGTGAAAACGGTAGACCGGGGTCGCAGCAGCATAAACCTTTAGAGATGTCAGTCCAAAGATGTTCAATGGTATGCTGCAAGACAGATCTGGGGACCCCCACCTTTGTGTGCCGCTGCCGAGGAACCCTTGTCGGAGTGGAGTCCCTGCAAGACGGAGCGCACCTGGTCCATGTGAACAGAGCTCTTCGTGATCATGGTTTCAGATCATATGATTTGCTGCAATCGACCTTGCTGCTGCGATTTCACCCTCGGCACTTGTATGTTTCGGTATCTCATCCAGTGTCGTGTCGGAACGACGAGCTTTCCTCTGACATAGCTGTGCTGCGTGCAACTCCCGGCGCTCCGTAAAGCTGCGTCAACTAATGCATGCTTAGTGTTGAACCTGTGTTCCATATACCTCTTGAGGACACCATACTTCGATGCTTGTCGCAATCCTTCCTGAAGCACGTTCCTGCTCAGGAAGTGTTATGCCTCGCCCGCCCATCCACACACCTTGGGCCAAACATACTTCGACCACCGGCGAGCTGCAACTTGTATCACAGATGGGTTCATGGTGAGCCAAGCACGTCAGGAACGAGCTCATGTAAGGCTATGTGTACAATGCTTGCAGCGACTGAGATGCCTCAGCACAAAAAGGCAGCAGGCCACCGAGGGTGACCGTCTCATGGTGATCCCAACGGGGCAGCCTTGTGCGTTGCACCAGTGCGGCACGGTCATCGCTTCCTCAGCGCGGCATAGGCTATGGCGCCTATCACCCCGATGACGGCAGCTCCCGCCCCAACTCCTACCAAGCCATCCCGCACAATGTCCTCGTCCACACTCTTCAACAGCGATTCGGCCTGCCTGAACTCTGGGTTCCCCTGCAGGTAGCAGCATGCTGGGGGTTGGGGGCTGGCAGCAGGCACATCATGCATGGGCCAGCTGAAAGATTCAACGGGGCTACAGCCATTGCTTCGACGCTGTGTTGAACCTCCCACTCTCCTTAACCTCTTACTCCCACCTTGAGCAGGTCTCGCAGCGTCGTGCGCGCGTCCAGGTAGTGCCTGCGGCGATACTGACCCACGGCCAGGAGGTACAGGAGGTCCCTGGTATCTGCAGACTCCTGGGTGAGCATGGCCTGTAGCAACTCTACACCGCGGTCGACGTCGCTAGTCTTGGTGGAGTGGACCTGGGCCCATGCCAGTCTGTGGGAGCGTCAGTGAAGACGGAGACATGGAAGGGAAATGTGCGGGGGGTGGCGATCTCCTATCCAATGTGCCCGGTCGCGAGGAGCACCGAGGTGGTCAGAACACGCTGAGGCCCCAAGGGTGCATGAACACGCCAGCAGCTCACCGAACGGTCGCATCCTGGCCCTCCTGACCTCCTTCACGGGCTGCAGCCTGATACTCATGCTGGCAGCGCTGTATCACGTCGGCCTCCGTCCATGGGAGCTCCGCCATGGCTGAACGTGCTTGGGTGGGCACCGCGGCAAGCTGAATACCTTCGGCTGTCTACCTATCGGCACGGATTATAATAACACTCTGCGATTATGAACTCGTATAATTCTTGTTCGCTGACATTTGTTCTTGCTGAACATTCTCTGTTGGCAGATTCTGGAGCAGATTCACAGTTCAGAGAGGAAAAGCTTTCGGCATTGACACGAAAATCCTATACACAGAACTTGCCATCCACTTTTCTCGGAGCGTCTCTACTTAGCGATATCACATATCACGTCCACTGTTATGAGGCGTTAGCATCCATCAACAACGCACACTGCGTTTACGGGGACCTGGCGGTACATAACCAGCAAGTCTCGAGCACCTCGTTGCGGCAACCCATAACAGTGCATGCTGCAGCAGTTCGCATCCGCGAGGGCCATTCCACTCTTTGCAAGGCCCAGTGCCCTGCCTGTGTGCAACCCCAGCGTCTTGCCCAAGTTTGGGGTGATGGACCCGGTCGCCGTATTTGCAGCAAGTCCCCAGGAGTTGCTGGCAGCACGACACGCCCTGGAGACGGGTATGCGATGCCCTGCACAGTGCTCCAAGCCTGAAAAATGTTGAATTGTGCCCCATATGATGTAGATGGTCGTATCCTCCGAGCACACTTATGCACTGTGCAATGTGCAGGTGCCCTGAGAACTAATTTGCAGAGCCAGGGGAGCGACCTGGAGTTCAGGGAGCAACACAGGACTTCTGGCAATAACGGGAGCGCTTTTTATGCCCCAGACTTCTTCTCGAATCTCAAGACTCGTGCCCTGGGCAGGGTTTTGTTGACGAGTCGAGCCACGACATCGACGCAGTCCCTGCTGCAAGACAGCCTGCGCAGTCTGCCAGATGGCGTGGTGTTTGTGGCCGACAAGCAGGTTCAAGGCAAAGGTACAGAGTCCAGGGCCGGGCCATGGTCTTTGGGTCGGGGCAGGCGTCATTGGCAGGGTGGGTGAAGTTTTGTGTCAGGGGCGGAGCATGCCCTTAATCAGCCTGCTGATAACCTTGCTTCTCCCTTGCTTCTCTAAAACAGGGAGGGGTGGCAACGTATGGGAGTCCCCCGCAGGCTGTCTCATGGTGTCGGCGGCCATGCGCCTCACCATCTCGGGCCAGCGCCTCCCTTTCCTCCAGTACCTCGTCTCGATGGCCGTGGTGCAGGCTGTGCGGGAGGAGGCTGCTCGGTGCCTGCAGGTAAGGGTTGATCTTCCAGTCCATTACGGATTTCACAAAGGCCATTGGAGGTGGAGGGGCTTCCACTGCAGGCAGTCGGTTGCTGGTGAGCCAAAGTTCCGCCTCAGGCGTCGCCACACCAGCGCCTGGGCTGGGCGCTGTGGCGATGAAGGGGCACGCAAGCCCTCTGCGCTGCACTGAGCCCCTCATGCAGCCTACCTGGGCTCCATCTTCCCTCCTTCCGTCTCCACCTCCGCCGCAGGGTGGCGCTGGGTTGGAGGTGCGACTGAAGTGGCCCAACGACATCTACGCTGGCGAATACAAGATCGGCGGCGTGCTGTGCCACTCCGCATACCGGGACCGTGCATTCCACCTGGTCTGGGGTCTGGGGCTGAATGTGGGCAACCGCGCGCCCACCACCTGCCTGGACCGGCTCTTTGAAGAGGCAGCCGTTGCGCGCAGCCTGCCTGCCCCGCCGCCGGCCCGGCCCGAGCGCCTGCTGGCCTCCCTGCTGGGCTGGCTGGAGCCCGCCGTAGACGGGCTGGCGCAGCACGGCTTTCAGCCCTTCCAGCCGGGGTACCTGCGGGCCTGGCTGCACAGCGGGCAGCGCGTGGAGCTGGAGGAGGCAGGCAGCCGCGTGGCGCTCACAATTGAGGGGCTGACGCCCGATGGGTACCTGCTCGCGCGCGATGACGCGGGGCTGGCCTACGAGCTGCACCCCGACGGCAACAGCCTGGACTTTTTCAGGGGTCTCGTGCGCAAGAAGCTGCCGGCCGCGTCGTGAGACGCAGTTAGAAGGGCCAGGGAGGTTTGTAACCGATCCGTCCCCGGCGCTGGCCGTCGGCCCTCGGATGCCTGCGCTGCTGCCGACGACCTGCCATGTCCTGCCGACGGGGGCAACAAAGGTACCGTCCTGATGGGCCTCGGCTACTCTCTGCCCCGCACCGAGCAATGTTACGGAGGCCAGAGGGGCTGGTGCAGGTTCGTCACACGCGGGTAATATAAAAAGGGGTCTGGGCTGGTGCGGGGTCCAGCCCACCCAGAGTGTCACGCTGCGGTCAGGCCTCTTCTGTCACCGTGGGCTCCGCATCCGACGTCCGAGGCTGCCCTGCGCCGCCCTGAGGCCGGACTCCACGCAGCCTGCGGGATGCCGGGGGAGAGAGCAGGTGTGGAGCACCACTGGCTGGGCGGCAGTGTACGCACGGAATGTTACCCGAGGGCACACCAAGGATGCGATGCAGAGGGGGGTGCTTCCTGGAGCTGGATCATCAAACTTGAACGGCAGCCCAGAAGCCATGCGCCCATACTCGTCCCATACCACAGAGCGCCTGCCTGTCCCTCCCCGCACCTGCCGCTGCGGGGTCCCCGTGGCCTTGGATGCGGCGCTTGGCCGTTGGCATCTGGCTCCGGAGCGCCATGCGCAAAGCCATCATCCGCAGCATCCTCCGAGGGCCCCCGCCCACCACGATCCCTGCCCCTGCCGCGCCCCCGTCCGCTCCTGCAAGGCAGTGACAGGGGAGGAAGGGTCGGGGTCAGTGGTCTCACGTCAGAATCTCCAACCAATAAAGCAACTCTCGCAGCATTCCTTCCTTTCACTCCTGTTGCACCCCACCTGCTGCGGGGGTTGCCCGGGCCCCTGCTGGGCCGGTGCTCGGTCACGAGGCTGGCCTCCAGGGCTGCCAGGCCCTCCGGGCTGCTCAGGACATCAGATTCTGACAGCGGCGCCTGGTACCCCGGCTTGGAGGTGTCCAGCTCCGTCTGGGAGGGGTGGAAGGGGAAGGCTCTGGCTAGAGGGTGGTGCTCCAAGGGTTGCGGGAGCATCCTCCGCTCTTTCTGATGGAGCCAAGTGGAGGTGGTTCTAGACCATCATCCCCAACCCCATTCTCGACACGCTTGGGAGTCCACAACAGAAAAAAACGCAGGCAAGATGCAACTTCCAGGAGCCCCACTCCTCAAGGGCCTGTTTCAACCCACGCAATGGCTGCTCCCAGAAAATCTCCATGATCCACCTTGGACAGGGTGATCTCGATGGCAGAGGCGTAGCGCGTGGTCTCGATGCGCTCCAGGCCTTCCACCGTGGGCTCCCACACGTCCGTCAGCGCGACCGTGGAGGTGGCCACCAGTTGGTGCAGCCCCGCCACGCGCCGCTTCAGGATCTCAGCTGTGGGCATGGGGAAGTGGGTGGCTTATGCCAGGACAGGAGGGCTTTACCTCCCCACTTTGGCCGGTACTGATGCCCTTCCATATCACCACCTCCGAGGTCCTCCGCCCAGGCACCCACCGACGGACACGGCTTTGCCGATGGCCTGGCCCATAGCCTTCAGCGTAATGGCGGGGTGCTCCTCCTCGAGCATGCTCACTCCCTTGCCGGCCATCTCCACGGGGTTGCTGATGGCGGTGACGAGCAGCTCATCGGGGGCGATCGGGGGCAGATCAGTGCGAGGCTGTCGCACGCGGCGATAATTTTCCATGATCTGGGGGTGGCGAGGGGGCATGCATGCATGCTGCGGTCATAACGCCATCATGCTCTAGTATGGGTCCGACACCACGATCGTATTGCCACGGGGTCCCACTGCTCCAACCTCTTGCATGGTCATGGGCAATTCACATTTTGTTACCTCGGATTGCTCAGCGCTTGGGGTACGGACTCGGATGCCCCTCGTGAGCCGGAGGCTGCGCCTTCGAGAGCCTAGTGTGGGTGATGACAGAGCGACGGTGACGATCGACAGGAAATGTCTACAGATGAGCGTTATCAGACAATCAAAATCGTGATAGTTTGGGTATTTGACTTCGCGACGATAAGTGAACAGCTTTGGGAGGGGCATTCATGAAGGGGTGCAGAGCAATGCACTTGCATTCCCCGGGCTGGAAAGGGCGGGAGCATTGAATCCGGTCC